AGAGAGAGAGAGAGAGAGAGAGAGAGAGAGAGAGAGAGAGAGAGAGAGAGTAGAACTTTTTCCTGAGCTCAGGTGAAAAATTGTGTGGAGATACCCATAAATATTGAAGAGTAGGAGAGAAAAGGGAATGTATCAGTAGTTAGATGTCATTTATGGGAACAAGAAATAAGTAACTAACTTTTACATTTTTATGGCCTTCACAGAAACTTATACAAATGCCTTATTGTATAACTGTGTTAGGTTTAATTGAGTCAATTTGATTGGCTTAAAACTCACTGAAGGGATGGGTAACTATGGGGTGTATTTGGGTAGGCCATGGAGGCACGACCTTAGGCACTACATCTGCCCTCCCACTTGTTCTCTGGTACTGTTCCCCTGCTCTGCTTCCCAACACCTTCCTCTGTGTTTCTCCTTGGGAGCCTGTGGGCCACAATTGAGTCCTCTGAGGTGGTGAACTAAATTAAATCTTTTCTCCTTTAAATTGTAGATAGCATCTTGTATTTTGTTCAAAAGCAAGAACAGTGATGATTAACATGTACACCTTTCACTGTTTTCAGCCTATTCTTTTTTAGATTGTCATCCCTCCCCTCCATATCTGCAATGGAATTAGCTCCAGGACCCCACCCCATGGGTACCTTAGACGCTCAAGTCCCTTCCACAAAATGTCACTGTAATACTGTAATGTGGCATCTGACCTACACACATCCTCTCACATACTTTAATCATCTCTAAATTACTTCCGATACATGATACAGTGTAAATGCTATGCAAATAATCATTAGCCTGTATTGCTTTAGGGATAATAACAAGGAAGAAAATCTCTCCAAATGTTGAGTACAAACACAATCGCAATAGGACTAACTACACTTTATGGGTCAGTAACAATATATCCCAACAAAAAAATATTTCTATCCACATCTAGTTGAATCTGAAGTTATGAAACCTGCAGATACAGAGAACTGACTTGTGGTGAGGTTTTGTTTTTATTTTGTGCTGGAGATTGAACTCAGGACATTTGCATTTAGCTACACCCCCAGACTTTTTTGGGGGGTGGGGTTTGGGGACATGGTCTCACTAAGTTGCATAGGCTTCAGCCCAACTTGCCATTCACCTGCCTCAGCCTCCAGAATGCTGAGGTTACAGGCATAAACCACCACACCAAACTTGTGTGTATTTAAAATTACAGCCTCCTCGTGTGCTACTCACAGGCCTCCGCCCAAACCCTGTGTTAGGAGTGCCACCCAGGATTTTATGTAAATTACACATGCACTCTACCACTGAACAGTCTCAGCCTATAGTCTCTGAGATGCTGAATCTCTCAGACTGTTTCCAGGTTCTAACAATTTACTTGAGATATCCTAATAGCTAATATAATCCTCTAGAGATAAAGAGGCAATATTTCAAGTGTATACACACCTGGAGCTTTTGTTGAAGGTCTAGGTGATGTTTTCAAGTTGTTTCTAAAACACTACTTTAGGATGACCAGCTTGTTATTGCCCTGTTTTGTCCTAGCTTATAATTGGCTTATAACTGCCAGATGGCAGTTTACAGTGACCTCTAGAATCTCTTCTTTATACTATACTTAGCCAACTATGCTGAGATCATTACCTTTCAATTATACTTCATGTTATTTTCTCTGTAAGTGTCTTGCTATTTGCCCATAATAGGCTCATTCATCACATTTTAGTCCACACACCCAGGTTCCTGGTACTAATATTCTTGTTGGTATTTCATGGTGGGAAGGAATTTAGAAAATCTACAAACCTAGAGCTTACAACACACAGGTCATTGTTAAAACAGTTTCATCTCACAGGATGCAACCCTAATTCCAGTCCTGGAGATCTTTATAGTTTGTGCTTTCTCATTCAGAGAGATTGTATCTCCATACTTTAGTTTCCCATTTCTAAGCCACAGCCCCATTCTTCCTCCAGTGTGCCAATATGACTAAATTCTTATAGCTAGATCTCTGCAAAAGTCTTTTAAAGGGCAAAATGCATTATAAGGACTATTCTCTATTTCTGAACAAATTTACCCCTCAAAGAACTACTGTAGTTTAGGCAATAATTTATTTTGCTCAGAATAACTGTTGCCATTTCTGTTACAAATTCTTTTCAGTTTACCATGCATTTATGTAGTAGCTATTATGTCCTGAGTTAAGAATAGAGAGAACATGATGGCTATGTCTTCATTCTCCAGAGAGTACAATCAATTTCCACCCAGAAGTAGCACATTTTTTTCTTCAATATTCATAGTAGATATCACCTATTAACCAGTGATTCTTTTTTTTTAATTTTTATTTATTTAGTGTGTGTGTGTGTGTGTGTGTGTGTGTGTGACCAGCTCAGCCCACCAGGGGGCGGGGCTGGCTGGCATGTGGTGCTGGGGGATTGAACCGAGGTCCCTGTGCTTTGCTTAGCTTAGCTTATTCTAAGTAGGTGCTTTAGACCACTGAGCCATCTCACCAGCCCGTAACCAGT